AAATACACTATTGTGCACGCCATGTCCATCTGTCTGTCCGTCCGTGACTTCACGTTTTCTTCGACGAGAAAATGCGCTCTCTGTCACTCACTGCAGTGAGTACTAAGTTTCATTTTTTAAATAGTGTACTTGGAAAACTCAAGATTCTGTTATATTTCTCATCATTAATATTTTATTTTCATTAAGATGTAAACACAGATATTTCAGAGTTATTTTTTATGGAAGGCGGCACTCTTTTTGTTGTATTCATAAGGTTTGCCCCAATACATGAGATGAAACCTACTATATATAGTACAATTAACATTACCTTAGACAGACTCATGATTATCTTCCCACTTCAACTTTATGTTTGAACAACACAAACTAATTTTCCATTGTAAGAAAGGTCTTAGTATCAAGCGATATTTGTAGAAAAATAATATATATAAATAATGTAAATAAAAGCATGCTTGAAGCGTTTGCAAGTTATTACAAGACTTGCATTTTTTACCGTATCGGCGTAACATTTAGGAAATCATACATCAAACTTATATAAAATGTACAGCATATATCCCCAGTATATATTGAGTTAATATCAAATACAATCCAAGAAACGTAAATCAAGATATACCCGATATACGATTTTTGTATGTGTACAAATGTAAACGATGTGTGATTTATTAATTAAGGAAGTGTATACAATTTAAGACTTATACGAAGGTGTATACGATATATGACTTAATAAGGCGGCATATACGAGTTAAGTCTTATAGGTAGGTGTAAACGTTGTATGACTATGCGGTGTTAGGGATAGCAATAGGATTCGTGAAATTTGTCATTGTAATTCAGCACAAATATGATTTTTCAACAGTGCATGATTTCTTATTTGTTATTGTTGTGTGATCCACCACACTGTTGTGTGATCCACCACACTGTTGTGTGATCCACCACACTGTTGTGTGATCCACCACACTGTTGTGTACCACGTAAGTAGCACATGAGCTAAGGAAACGCAAGGTTCGCTTATATTTTTATCTCTAATATTTATCATTTATTTATTAATATAGTATCATTATTATCCTTTTCATCCTTTATTTGCCACTATACCCAGGACAAAGTGGGTGTATAAGGTGCATGACTTTATAAGGCAGTGTATACGCTGTATGACCTAATGCCTAATGCGAAGGTGCATACTATATTTGACGTATACGTGGGTGTATAATGTTGTATGACTTATACGTATGGGTATAGGTTGTATAGCAGTGTATACGCTGTATGCTCATGCGGAGGTGCATACGAAGTATGCCGTATACGGAGGAGTATTCGATATATGACTTATGAGTAGGTGTATACATTGTATGATTATATAAGATGTATAACTTAATAAGGCCGTGTACACGATGTCTGACCTAATAAGACTGAGTATGATACATGCATTGCAGGTAGATGTTTACGATGTACGATCGACATACGTGGGTGTATAAGCTGTGTGACTAATGCGTAGGTATATAAGATATATGACTTATGTGTAGCTGTATAAGATGTATGACTAATGCGTAGCTGAATAAGATGTATGACTAATGCGTAGCTGAATAAGATGCATGGCTAATGCGTAGCTGTACGAGATGTATGACATATATGTAGCTGTACAAGTTGTATGACTACTGCGTATGTGTATAAGATGTATGACTAATTATGCGTAGCTGTATAAGATGTAAGATGTATAACTTATGCGCAGATGTATTAGATGTATGACTAATTTGTAGGTGCACGTATAAGATGTATGACTAATGCGTAGGGGTATAAGATGTAAGACGAATGTGTAGGTGTATAAGATGTATGACTTATGCGTAGGTGTATTAGATGTATGACTAATGTGTAGGTGTATAAGATGTATGACTAAAGCCTAGCTGTATAAGATGTATGAGTCTGTATAAGGCAGAGAGTGGGTGGACTATGTATACAGGCTCGGCCGCCTTCACAGCTCGAGCGCTGTCCGTACAAGGCGCTCAGGCTGAGCGCTACTCTGACAGCGGCGCTCTGGGCAACTAGCACAAAAAAATTCATAGCCAACGATAACTTTCAAAGCCTTGATCGCAAATAAAAATTTTGCCGCATTAGTGTCTAATAATTTCTATATAATTTCTATATTATTAAAATTTTCAGTCAATTGTATATATCTTTGAAACTATTGAACAGCAGATAAAAGTTATGGAGCGCCAGACAATAAGCTTTTACAGAGGCAATTTACAGGTACTGAATCCAATATATTCTAAGCATTCAAGTCAGGGTGTTTATACAGTGGGGGGAAATAAATATTCGTACACTTGAAAAATCGTATTTTAATGAATGTAAGTACACAAACTGAACAGGAGAAGTGATTTATATTATGTATAGAGGCGCATTGTATTCAAAAATTGTCTCTATACATAATTTAAATCACTTCCTGTTAAGTTTGTGTACTTACATACATTAAAATACGATTTTTCAAGTGTACGAATATTTATTTCCCCCACTGTAGATAGTACATATGTGATTTTTACACGTGTCATTGCTGTATGCGTCTTTACATGCGCAATATTGTGTGAAAATGTTTTTCCAGTGGTCATGACAGACAATTTCAGACTCGTCTCTTTGTTTGGTCTGCTTTTATAGTTGAAGCAATGCAAGTGCTTCTTGCAATATCACATCACGTTGCGATGAGCTCATTAAAGTCGCACAATTAAAACTTCTCTCAATTATTCGGTAAGTTAGCCGTAGCTAAGAGTGCCTGAGTTAGGTTTAGCTCTATATAATAACGTTTATACATCTGTCCTTCAGTAAAGTCATCAATATCCAAAACCACAATACATTTTTCTTCATTAGAACCTTGTTAAAAGTGCAATCAAAGTGCCGCAATTATTCCCCTTAGTTCAAAATTAGTTTTAGCGCTATATTCTTGCACGCTTCAAATGATTGTTGTCGTTCCCTATTTAAAGTTGCATAAGGCTGGTAGATGATGAAACACCGGGTGGTGGTAGACAGTAGAGCGTCGAACTGCGGTAGACGGTAGAGTAAAACCAGAAGACGGTAGAGTGGAATCACTATTAATTAAAACTGAATATTAAAAAAATTGTCATGACCTCATGGGAAGAAGCAACTTTATAAGATTTCTAGCTACCACATTTTTTTCCAATTTCTTTATTTAAATTATATTTCATGCGCATGTGAGGGAATAAAGTCTATCACTTTAGCCTGGTATATACCCAATAATTCTGGCGTAGTATCTCTTCATCATATTGAACATGAAATAACATAATGCTTCGAAATGAAAGTTTTAAATTTTACTTAGCAAAATCCCTAAAGATAACGTTACGAGTAATAGTCGTATTCGTTAAAAATACACCGGCACAATTCGTTAAAAATACACCAGCGCAAATAACACTGAAGGTTCGTCGGCATGAATTTAAAAGGCAGTAGCGTAGCAAGCCAGTGTCCCATTGAGGGTGGAGTCGCAGAATGCTTGCTAAGAAAGGGTATGCCGAGCTAAGCGTCTTCGAAAGGCCTATGCCAGCCTATTGAAATCCTGAGTTACGACCCATGGTTATGATATTCATGAGCCAGAGACGAATGTATGCCAGTAACGGCTTAAACTTTCAGAAAGCCGTGAGCTAAAGTGAGGTGACGTTCTAATGAATTCAGACTTTCGGCTCACGGTGGAAAAGCCGCTCTGGAACGCGCGTCGGGGTTAGTTCGGCTTTGTTGGAAAGTTTCTCACAAATTCTTTGACATGATACTTAAAATTTATGAATGATAGTAAGGTTCATTTTCGATTTTTTTACCTTTAAATTTGCGATCATGAACGAGTATTTAGGTTTAAACCAATGTAAACGTATTCCTAAAATTGACATCAACCCGAGATATATTTGTCTTACTGATTGAAGGAAATTGAGCAGTAATGCATTTGCACTGATTAGAAATTATTGCGATGACAGATTAATATGCATAAATGCCAATTGCTTCTTGTGTTTCTATACTTAATTATTTTTTCCGAATCTGAATTGTCACTTCAGTGAAGAAGCATTGTGTTGCAGGAGGCGAAGCCCAGGCGGCATATTTTGTGAAGCAGGCGGTATATGGCGTGCGGCGTATATGGCTGCAGCAGCTGAGCCCAGGAGGCCGTGCGTGCAGCGTATATGGCTGCAGCAGCTGAGCCCAAGAGGCCGTGTGTGCGGCGTATATGGCTGCAGCAGCTGAGCCCATGAGGCCGTGCGTGCGGCGTATATGGCTGCAGCAGCTGAGCCCAGGAGGCCGTGCGTGCGGCGCATATGGCTGCAGCAGCTGAGCCCAAGAGGCCATGCGTGCGGCGTATATGGCTGCAGCAGCTGAGCCCAAGAGGCCGTGCGTGCGGCGTATATGGCTGCAGCAGCTGAGCCCAAGAGGCCATATTGGGAGCTTCGCGCCTTACAAGGCAGGCAAGATGCCTGGCAGCGTGACTCAGGCTGACCTTATTTGCAAATCATGGTTGTGATGGCACTCGATCTCCTGTCACTGTTTGGCCATAGATGATAATCTGATCAATTTTAATAACCTTTTTTCGTGTGATATGATACATATATTTCTTTTTAAATGGTAATGAAAAATAGTTATATTATTTCCCGTTAAATAATTTACTATGAAAAAACTTTTAGAAATAGAGAAAAATAGAACATATAGAAATAATGTAGCAAAATGTAGTATTTCTTTAAATTTAAGATAGTAAGAAATACAATTAGTTCGAAATAAAATATATAAATAACATAAATCAGTAAATGCTAAATTTACAACGGAATATATTATTAAGTGTGAGGAATAAAGGGTAAGGCGTGGTTAAACTAACGATCGACAATTCCAATAAATTCTGTAAAAACTTCTCGAAAGAAGCCTATTGTCATGGTCGGCTGCAAGAATTATTTTCAGAAAGTGACTTCACTAAGCTCAGGAAAATAGATTGCAAACAACCACGAGGGGGCGGCACCCCAAAAGAACCAGTGTCGTGCCGGCAGCGCAGAGGAGAGGTGTGTACGCTGTGCACTGCTGTGCAGCACTCTACATCTAGCACGTGGTGCTACCAACCTAGGTGAGGCTAGGTTAATATTAGGGGCCAATATAGGTATTTTTGTCTGCCTGAGCATTTTATTCCGTGGCTCTTCGATAGAATGTTTTCTCAAGTCAAAATTTTTGAATTTCAAATCGTTTATTTTTCTTTCGTTGAATGAATACTTCGATTTTACGTTGAAAATTTTCTCAGAATTTTGACTTTTCTTACAATATTTGTACCTCTCTTTTATTTATTGTTTGATTTATCCTTTATTTAGAAAAAATCTACAATATAGAAGCAACATTCAAGCTGATCTCATATCTCTAAGAGTTTACAATTATTTAGCAGCTGCAAAAAATACATTTTTTGCCTTAGGTTTTTAATTTTCGCTCATTTTCTCTACTATATTTGTATTCATTCCAGCGATGGATCTAATTATATTATAATTAAACCTCGTTGCAATTTCCTAACTTTTTAATGATTATATACAGTTTTTGTCCAAGCGCAAATCGATCGACGAATAATTTGTATTAAATAACTCAGTGAATTGCTAATGCTATAATTTTTTATGAAGTCAAACGTTATTGAACTTTGTAACTTCTAAAGGTTGATTTGCTCCGCAAGTAATATAAGATATAGGATATATTGTTAGGAGTACTTATCATCGATCTGTTATGATTTATACATTATTTTACATAGTTAATCCCTTTTCTACAAGCTGCTAAGAATCGCTCATTCTTGACTATCTTGCATATTATCAATACCAATAAATTATTAAGTGTCTGCTACATTTCTTATCAAAATATGAATTAATTATTGAGACACTATTAGCATTTTCAGTTGAATTCGACTTCGTTCTGAAATACAGATATTTTATAACCATCATCCATTACAATTTAGCAGCATATAAAAGCATATAATATTTAAGGGAGCTGTTCTTCTATTTAATTGGACTTACATTATTAGAGAAACACAAAACGTATGAGTTAAGTTACTTTCTTGCAAGTCATTCATGATTTTTGTTCGTCGCAATTCAACCAAAACTGTAACACCGAAACTCAAGGACCACCCCTGAGACGCCAGCGACCAAAGTAACTCATGCGCTACAGACGCGTTCCTTTGTTCAAAGTACACGAGAAATAACCGCAGCAGCGATCTAACTTCAAATCTGGTCCAGCGTATCATCATCCAAAACTTGGCCGCCGATACCGCGGCGGTGATATTTAACTAGGAACCTTCCTCTGCACTGAGGATATGGCTAGAAAAAAATTGCTCCGGTTAATCGAGGGAACGAAATCTTTGCTCAGTTATTGCTCGCGCTTCTTTGTTAATAAATTGAGGAGACGTGAGAGTTGCGAGTTACGTTGCACAAAGGAGATATGATCAACTTCTTTGATGCACGTTACTCTCGTGCCTCACTCTCTTCCCTCCTTCTCAGTTATCCTTCGTCTTCTTTCGATTTGCTGTGATAACAATTAGTTATCCGTCGAGGAATCTGTCTGCGACGGCTAAGATTTCATAGTTTATCGTTCGTTTGATTTTCATTTATCAAGGTGATGCTAGCATTCGAATTTTTGACTACAATAGTTAGTGAAATTTAAAAGGAAGTATGTTCAGTTCACTACTGATTAAACAACCATATAGGAAATATGTAGCTCCATTAGGATATATTATTGGATGAAAAGCTTCCCTAATCTTAATTATATATACTGGAAATGATGACGTGCGTCACTCGGAGTGAATCATAAATTACGAACAATCGTGCTAAGAATGAAACGCAAGCAATCTATGTCTGGTGTTTAAATTTATTAAAACTTTAATATTTTATGGGTACATATTGCATGCTATTTCATTCATGAATTTTATTTTTTTTTTAATTCTGCTACATGTGTCTTGAATTCTGCTTCATAAATTGCGTAATTATATAACATATATAAAGTAGTTAAATGTAACACATTATGTTCAGGATTTTTGTAGAAACTTTGCTTTCTTTTTCTGCAGGCACCGTGGGTGTAGAAAAATGCAGCGGCTGGCGACAAGTGCGAAGAAATTCCAGGGAGCCAAAATGATGCAAAATTTCTACATAATTCGAAGAAAATTGCTGAGAATTCTACATGGAAGGAATAATTTTTCTTCCGAGAAAAATGTAATTTTTGACCATAAATCGTTAAAATTGGATTAAATTTTCTGCCAGAATTAGAGTAATGTTTACTTTTTGTATCTAAATTTCATTAAATTCTAAGATTTTCCTAATAAAACTCGTAGGAGACGTCTTGATCATAGTCGCTTAATTTCGATAATAGAATGTCTAGAAAACCAAAGATGTAATACAAGTTAATTATATATTAAGTACATACTGGAAACATTTCAAACTGCACTTCGGCCAACGTCCGGACATTGTTATTTCAACGTACTGAAATCGAACTTCCATCCTTCCATCAGTCATGAACTTTTCGTGTTTATATTAAAATTCTGTGAAAATGAGAGGTAATTTCGATTAACTTTATGATAAAAAAATCAATTTGTCTCGTCATGAATTGATGATAACCTGCTGAGTCCTGTCGAATGTTGGTACGATTTCAGTTGTTTGGAATAATATGCTTGATTCTCTTCAGAATCATATGGTAGAGAGCTTTAAAATAGTATTTAAGTTAACTTTATTGCTAGTAATATGAGTTCAGTACGATATTGGCGTAGTCATGGGTTCGGCGACACGCAGCATTCCTTCCAAGTATGTTTTGATATTACCATTTGTGAAGAGTTTTGGATTCAACATTTCCTGCGAAATGTTATCTGTCGTTGTATACATCTCGCAAAAATTCTATTCCACGTCAAAAAATAAATTTATGAATTTTAATTAGATCAGAAATACTTGCATATCAGAATGACCAGTATCGATCCAATAGCTCTCATTTTGATTTTTTCACGTTAAAAAATTCATTTTTTTATTCCATTTGTATTTGTAGTTCATTTCGGTGACGATTCGCAGGTAACGGAGTTTAACGAATACGGGTACGAATGAGAATGAGAATACGAATACGGGTACGAATGTTACGAATGAGATGCACTAAGAGAATTTTTCATTCTCCTGTTTTTCCTTTTTTTAAATGTTATTTTTTTCGTATGTATTTTTATACAGCCTTTTTGGTTGGGGAAAACGTGTAATGCTTATGTGTAGGGTTTAATTTTAATTTCGCTTAGTTGTGTTTTATAAATTTGTATTGTAAGGATGAATAGAATTAAGGCTCGAAGATATACAGCTATTTTCCAAATAATTCCCAACTGTAGTTGCTTCTACTAGCTTTTTCTTTTTTCTTCCGTCACGTCTCGAGGCATAATTCCTTTCAAAAGAATCATTCGATCTGTTTTGAGTAATAAAATTTCTATTATTTTTGTACATGATTAATTTTAAGAATCAACTGTTGAAGGCCATAGATGGATTATCGGTGGCCATCCATTGGATGATGTTCGACATCTCTTAATTCAATAATGATTAATTATATTTAGTGCAAGAACAAATGATTGGCTGTGATTAGGCTAATTTCTCGTAGTCAGTATTGGCCTAATTAACATTTTAATTACTGTTAATTTGCGTCCTTTGAAATCGATAGATCATAATTGCGATGCAATTTTGTGATAAAAAGGAGTAATTTGAACCATTTCTTTAATATCATCTGAAAAAATAGTCTATTTGATAATTTTTTCATGCGATGTTTGAATTAATGGTGAAATCTCATAACGATCTCTGTTTTTTTTTTGTCTAATCGGAGAATGTCATCAACATGTATTTTTTTCAGGCACCAATTTTGATTTTTAATAATAATTCTATTCCGACTTATGCATATTGCCGTTGTTTTTGTCTCTATTCGAGTATATGTAAATTTTTATCTCTTTCCATCTCATTAATAAACGATTGGTTTTATCCGACTTGTTCATATTGAGTTTTTCCCTAATTGAAGTAATCATAATTGAGTGAACGCGAAATAAATTGTCGAGAGTTCGTTCTAAACCATCTAATTCAACCGCAGGAATGATTAGCTAATTATTGTTTTAAATATAATTGATGACGCAGTCTATATTTGAGCTTGTGCAACCACAGAGAAATATTATCACACTATCGCTCAGTAATAGCCTCGTTCGAACATCATTAGTTAAAAAATAAACTACAAAAAATAAACTACTATCTGTAAATCAGAAAATTCGAAGACAAATATTTCATTAACTACTATATGAAACTCATCTTTTCTTAATATATGAATAAAAAATGTAATTTCGTTTACGGATATTCCATTCTGTTCTCAACCTAGTTTTAGATCTCATTTTAAGACGTATAATATAAATGATTTCTATTTTTTTAAAACAAGGGGACGCGTTTGGCTGTACTCAAACTCCAAACTCAGATTCACTCACGCGCATTATAATTATATAAGCTAAAAAGTTATAGGCCATTGTTATTCCTTAAACTATCCAATGAATGAGTTAATTTGTTTGACTTAATGCAAATTTTTAATGCATATTCTCATAACTAGTGCAGCTATTATATATGAATATACAGCTGTTATTCCTACATCAAGTGCAACTTCTGTAAATACGTATACACTTAACACTCCTATATACTAGGTGCAGCTGCTATAAACTTACAGCTAATATTCCTATATCGGGTGAATCTGCTGTAAATATACAGCTAATATTCATATACCAGGTGCAGCTGCAGTAGGTATACAGCTAATATTCCTATACCAGTCTATACCAGGTGCAGCTGCAGTAGGTATACAGCTAATATTCCTATACCAGGTGCAGCTGATATGCTCATCACTCTTCATCCTCTGCCCCGGGAAGCAAAGGTTCCGGTGTTGAATTTCAGGTGCCGCGGTGCTTGCCATTTGTTGGAGCGGCGGTTGGAAACAGCTGTAGTTTGTATATTATACATTATATAGATTGTCTTGGTCGTTTTTTTGTCTGTTTACTAAAGCAATAGTAAGACCGTGTATGATTTAACAAAAACATGTTATAGTATATAATCCAGTCAACATTGAAATATAGAGCGCTTCGGATTGGGCAGCGCTTAAATCAACGGTACGTAATTAACTTTAATTTGACTAATTAAATAAATTATATCTGTGACGCTTGAATTGAACATGAAAATGACAAAAAACTTTACTGTTATGACTGTATATATTTTAATTACTACGTAATTAAATATATTATTGACTTCCTTACGTCATAATTTCATTCAAAATAAAAATTAATTTTAGTTTCAGTCACAATATATGTATATAAATTTTGAACTCCATCTCAGCAACGTCAAGACCATTATTGTTTTAACCGAAATTTAATATTTGAAAAATAACAGTAATGATGAAGCTGCTCAATATTAATAAAAATGTAAACATCCAAAAATGTAAATTTCACCACAGCTTCCAAACACCTACAAAAATTTAAACATTAAAAAATGTTAACATCACTAGAGCTGCTAAACATTCACAAAAATTTAAACATCAACAAAATGTAAACAACACTGCAGCTGCTAAACATTCACAGATAATTAAACATCTAAAAAATGTTAACATCACTAGAGCTGCTAAACATTCACAAATTGATCCCAGTAAACATTCAGTATTAACCAAGTCCAGGACAACATTCACTGTATTTAGAACGCGCCTCGCATGAATGAAAAGAAAGTTTTTTTACGCGGTATATAGCATCTGGCAGGCGGGGTTGCGGGGAGTTGTTTTTAGGTACGTGTGAAGTCATCCCCACGCGTCTGCTTGGCTTCCCCACACAGCAGCTGTCCTCACTGGCACGTGCCTGCACAACCAAGCCCCAGCACGAGGGGAGACTCTCTCAGATCGAGGGGAGTACGGCCAAAATAGCCTCAGTAGCTACCCTTCCCTTAGCAGGCAGCTCGACTTCCCCGTGTGTTGTGCACCTCTTTGCTACCTTCTTCCCCCTGTTTCGTTCCCCTTCAATGCTTTCTTCCCCCTTCTTCCCCTCTTCACTGCCTGGTTACCGTGTGCTGTTACCTTTCACTACCCGCTTCCCGTGTTAGACATTTCCCCGTTTACCACAAACTTCGCTAAGTTTTGTTCCGTCTTGTCACTGACCTCGCAGCATTTTGCATCAACCAGTTTCCACCTTTTGCATCAACCAATATATGACATTGCGCTATGTACCACTGAGAATAATGAAGAGGTCATATTGTCCAAATAGTGATACAATTTCTGATGCCTCAGCACGAGCGAAGTTAATGGGCCAAGTTACAAGGAAAAGAAGTTACTGGGCCTTTTTGCTGGGCCAACTTACAAGGGCACAAAGTATATCGCTATTTGTACAGTCTCACTCATTGTACTGTGTGAGATTACCACTCAACTACTTTTTGATAGTTTATCTTACTTCAATTCCTTCAGTTTCTGTTTAATCATTCCTTGATTCATTCTTCATACCATCCTGTCTTGAAAACAGGGAGATTCTTGCGGTTACCTGAAAAAGTGTTGAATCTTTTCTACTTGAATCGTTTTCTTCTATCGTATGATTCTCAACGGCTGCTGCAAACCATCCTCGGTGTACTTGGTCTTCTTTTCGTGGATTCTACAATCACCTCGGCTCGCCATGGATAAACTCAGCTCCTGTTCTACGTACTTCTTCATACTCGCTTATTTACATTTCATTCATACTTTTTTTCTTGCGAAAAGTCATTTTGGCATGAAGTGGCAAAATGGCAAAGTTTACAATCCCTCATAATTATTGAATAGGTGCATGGCCATAATAATTGTTGCTCCCTCACGTAATTTTAAATTAATTTCAGTATCTCACGCTCCTAAAATAATTATTAGTCAATAGTTTTTCTCGCTGTTATCTCAACTCGTCGTAACTCGGGGGTTTCTGCATGGTCTTAACAATTTAATTAATAACTGACGCTTCCACTCTAAATGATCAGATTGACAGATGTTGCTTCTATATAATTCTATATGATTTAGTTAAATAGTTCGCGCTCATTACCCGAAAATTGTAAGTAGTAATTATAGATACATTATATTCATAGTTACCTTATAACTATAGATATTTGATAATTATAGTCACCTTATAATTATTGACACATTATAATTGTAGTTACCTTTAAATTATAGATACATATTAATTATAGTTACCTATAATTATAGATATCATATATATCTTAAAAAATTCAATCAAGTGAAAGAACTGAATAAGCTGCACCTGTGGAGGCGCGTCATCTAACAAACAAAACCTCGAATTCGTGGGCACAGAATTCTGTGAAAAAGATTTTACCCACAAGTACGAATAAAATTATAAAAGTCATTTATGAGTTTATGAGTCAAACATACAAGAGTATTAAAGCTCAATGATGTCGAACTCAATTTTCATCCTAGATCATGAATACAATGATTTAATCATCATTGTATTGTAATCATTAACTTCGCCTAATTTATCTTAAGGATGCATTAAATTTTTGCCAATCTAATTAGATGATATCAATCAAGTTTCTTCATTCAATGTAGTTTCAAATTTTCCGTCATGCAAGATATTTTTACATTTTATTATTCATTTATCATTTGCATAAATTTCTTTTCGTAATATTCGCAAGCATTTTATTGACTTCATTTGCTCCAACCCTCAAACTTTTCAAACTTCAAACCCGAACTTGCACTTCTTAAATTTCGAGAAGGAAAATAAGATCGAGAAAAAGTAAAACTTGATAATATAGGGAATTTAATAGCAAAGAAATTACCAATTAAGCAAATCCACCATATCGATATTGAAAATGTTTCGGAGTCCACCTCCATCATCAGTTCGAAAAACTAAAAATGAATAAAATTATATTGTAAAAAAATCCCAGAAATTGGAGACTGCAGCTCGCGTCGGCCCACGCGCGCGCTTGTTAATACGCGTGGGCAGCGCCGCGCGTAGGAATGAGCGACGCGCGTAGGAGTCCCGGCACCTACGCGAGATATCATAGATGATTTTAGGCGCATGAGATATCATGCTAAGCAGGTTAGTATGAGAGCAGGTTAACTTGAGAGCAGGTTAACATAAGAGCAGGTTAACATGAGAACAGGTTAACATGAGAGCAGGTTAACATGAGACCAGGTTAACATGAGACCAGGTTAAAGGTTAACATGAGAGCAGGTTAACATGAAGCATGCACCAACAGCCAGCAGGTCCAGTAAATGCACCAACAGCCAGCAACCTATTTTCTACCATGAATGTTCGTGGTCGTGTTCTGGATATCGAAATTTCAGCTGTTAATTAAGCCGTGTGCTACGCTGCGTTAAGTTCGTTTTATAATGTGCTGTGTTGTGCTGGTTTGTCATGTCTTGTTGCGGTGTAGTTGTGGTGTAGTTGTGTTACTTGCCGCCATGTTGTACATTACTTGGTGTTTATGTTTGTTTTGTTAAATATGTTTATATTCGTTGCAGTTGACGTTGCAGTCAACCATTTATGTAACATTTGACTTGCAGTTGCCGCAACAGCTGGTGATGATGCTGTTGATATCCTGCTCAAGTCATCGCTTATATGTAATTTCCGCTACTAATGCTCGCAAATCACTGTTATTAGCGTTGTATATATTGCTGCCGCAGTGATTTGGAAATGCTTCTGCTGTTTTGCTTGCTGCTTGCAACGATTCTTCCATTTTATGTTGCTGTTGTGCTGCTGCTGCCGCCAGTTGTGCAGCTGCTGCTGCCAGTTGTGCAGCTGATGCTGCCAGTTGTGCAGCTGATGCTGCCAGTTGTGCAGCTGATGCTGCCAGTTGTACTGCTGCTGCTGCTGCTGCTGCTGCNGCTCATGCCTGAAGTATTTTTTACGGAAAATATGCACAAATGCGTGAGTTCATGTTTTCTATAAAAGAATATTGATTCTTGTTCAGCATTAAGTTCATAGAAACAACATGAAGAATGTGCAAAT